GTTACCTTCAACCGTTTTGAGCCAATCCTTAAACTCCGGCATATCCAGCCAGGAGTCCGCGAACTTACATTTACCCATCTTCTTTCTTTCTCTTTCATATTTTGCTCCGCTGTTTCACGCCTGAACGTTATGCGCACGGCCCCGAGGCTATCTGGCAGTCCGAGGCTGATTTCGGACACAGCCCGAGCCCTGCACATCGTTGTTTGTAATAGTCGCGAGGAGGAAAATAAATTATACATTCATGGATACTTTTTGTCAAAGCTTGAATGTCAAGAAAATGTAATACTTCATAAAATCGCGATTAAGACTTTTTAATACTTTTTAAGGGCCTTAATTTTCCAACATTTGATTTATCAACTTTTAATACTTTTTAAGACCCTGCGGACACCCTGCAGTAGTATAGTATTATTGTTAAATTAATCATTATGATGTAAAATATAGATATACCATTTCATGTGGGAAATAAATATTATAAATGAGTGGAACTTGTTTATTTTTGTATAGTGACACATTCTGGCAGCACAGATTGCTGTTGATGTGAAATGTCAGTGCCAGTCTGTCTGTTGACAATTCACAGCTCAATCTGTAAACGATACTACAGACAGTTTTTTTCTGGTTTTGCCTTTGACAGGAATACCGAATCTGAATGACACCTGGGATCTGTATGCCTGTACAGTATGTATGTCATTACATTATATGCATTAAATCTGAAAGACTCAATATTCATTCTTGTACAGAGACCAAGAAAAACTTCTCACTTGACATAAACTAATGTCAAGGACCATCATTGGAATTATAACCCATTTAATGTCCCTTTCCTATATTGGAATGGAGACTTGGTACACAGCTCCCTTACCTAAGGCCCTATGACAACTATATGACACAAGGTAACATTACACGTCAGTTGTATGCCCACCTGTTTGTTGTGATGCCTTCTGTGATTGATTAACAAAAACTATGTCTTCGAAATCAATTGGACACTTTACATCTTTGTGAAGTATCTAATTGTTTACAGCTGTAATACACACACATACCTGTGAGCTTGGGTCTTTGCTCCTTTGGGCTGACAGAAAGGCTACAGCCATAAAGTACTCTGGCCATTCCAGGTACTCTTCTCTCTTCATGGTTGTGCCACTACAGAGAAACACACAAAAAGACAGAAAGAGGATGAAACGTTTTGTGAGCCAAGATATCTTTTAGGCCATTTCCTTTGCTTTCATTTACTGAAATCACAGCTCATTTGTGAGCAGTAATCCCTTCTGTTTACACATCTATCCAGACTCTACACTATGTTTGATTTCAACTTGTATTACCTGATTGATGTCTACATACACAGTAAATTGGTAATCATTTGCAACAAGATTACCATCATAAACAGTCACTTTAGAATACCACAGTCATCTGTGGAAGAAGCCTAAAGTGCATAATCCTCAGTAAAAGCTTAACATAATAGCTCTCAGTCTGCCTCTCTTACAAGCACCAGGGGAACTGGCTGTAGTTTAATTAACTGAAACCTCCTCTCTGTTCTTTGTACACAAGCTTCGCTAAAAAATATGTTTTAGCCTAATGTTAGCACGGCTTTGGTAACATACTCAGTAGCTCTTTGACTTCTGGCTTAATCTGAAAGTGGAAACCCTGTATCAACACTTAGAGCAGGTCAAGGGTGAGACTGACAATTACTGAACACACAGCATATAACAAAACAAATAACTTAATTATTAATCATTTTCTTTTTTTATTGCTTAATCATTTAATCTATACAATGTCAAACATGTGGATCCCAAAGTAATTTATT